GCCAGTGATGGACGTCCATGAATGGAGCTGAACCCATGTGAAGCCCTGCTCCCCAAGGCCAGTATCAAATCATTGATGCACTTTACTGATAGTATCTCTTACATATTCTTTTCCCTGAGAACACTCAATTCCTGAGATCAATTTTATTTGTTAGCCACTGAAGCCTCACACTCTCACAAAGTGGGTGATCAACGTTTTAAAATAAGTAGATGAAAAGGAGTCATGGGGAAACATGAAGTGACGGTGGCGAAGGCACAGAGTCCCACCCAGTGGATAAGATCTAGCCTGGGAAGTAACCGGAGGACAAGGCCATGCCTGACCCTCTGACGCATATCATAACTGATGTAGCAGTTATCCTTTATTCCCACCCTACCTTGCTGAGAAAAGAATTTCAGACGGCTTACAAAGATTAAAAAGAAATGAGAAATATCTGAGGACTCTGAAACAGAGAAGGGGAAAATGAAAAAGGAGCAGAGACCTAAAATGAAGGCAAGAAAGAGTCACCGCAATAAGATTCGTGCAGCAAATGCTGCAGAAAGCCACAGAGAAGACCGTCATCAGCGTCTGGAAACTGTCTCCGATGGAACTGGGACTTGACAGAAAGTATGTGCTGCAGAGGAAACTGGAGAGGAGGTGTCTCTGGAGTCACCCTGGGTTCAGCCACACCCTGGGGCAGGCGGGGTGCTTTGTGGCAGGCAGGTCTTTCCAGTGAATGGGACTCCTCCCACAAGGCTGGGTCCCTGGGAAGCCTCACATACTCTGGACTTCACCAATTATCTCATTTTCATAATAAGCTCAGCACTTTCCCTAATTGCTGTATTCTGACCACCAAGTCCAAGGGAAAGATAAGTACATTTCACCTTAGTTCCAAAGGAGAGGATTTTCTTTTAAATTAAAAAAAATGTTTTTAACAGTTTTATTGGCACATGTTTCATGTCATACAATTCAATAATCCCATCTCATTTATAAGAGCTGGTATAATCATCTCCACAGTCAACTTTCAAACATTTACTTTCCTCTTGTAACCATAATCAGTTCCTCACCCCCACCCCCCCAAACCTTTCCCACCATTCCCCCTCCAGTAATCATCAATGGAGTCCCTGTCTCATTAGCTCTACCCATCCTGAATTTCATATATAGGAAAATAACCCAGAAGAACAAAACAAAAACACTTCACTCTGCATGATAGCTAAACTAATCATATCCCCACTCTATGGTCAGAAGGGATTCACTGGAAGGTTAATCCATGTGCAAACCTTTTAAATGGAGTTTGAGCACACATTGTCATCCACAGTCTTCCAAAAACCTGGTGGTCAAAATTTAAGCTCTGGTACCATACTGTCCTACGCAAGGGTCCTCAAACTTTTTAAACAGGGGGCCAGTTCACTGTCCCTCAGACCCGTTGGAGGGCCAGACTATAGTTTTTTAAAAAAACTATGAACAAATT